GAAACCAGCGGAACCAGCATTTGGCTGGTTGGGCAAAGACAAAACAGGTTCTGTTTTTAGAACCTGAACCTGGTTGTTGTTTTCCCAGGTTGGAAAAACAGAACCAGAGGTTGTTTACCAACCTACCACCTGCTATTTTGTCCAGCCAGGTTGGTTCTGTTGCTTGGAATTATTTGGGATCATCCCTGGTTGTTCCCAGGTTGATTCCCAAGGTCCTTGCTAGCTAGAACTATTTAATCCTTCTCTGTTTGTACCTGAATATAGTCAATTGATTCATGCGAATTCCTTCCTCGCTGGAATTTCGTTTCTGCGCTATTCGACGGCGGAATGCTACCCGAGTCAACGCTAGTATGCTAGCACTCCAACGCTAGGCAAACGCTGTCCGAGCCATAACTTAGTAATGGCAGAACTTTTCGCGAGGCAACTTGGCTCATTTTAAAGCTCTTGGAGCGAGCTTCGATATAGCGAATTCTCAGCTTAATCCGACCGACGGTCTGCACGGCACGCTGCGCGACGTTCAAGGTGCTCTTGCTGTTTTGAATAAGTCCTTCTTGATCCCTCTCTCTACAAACTCGGACCCGAGGATAGGGGCTGGTCTTGTACCAGGCACCCAGGGACCCTTGGAGGTGACCCCGAGGAGAGGTTTTAAGTTTGATTAAGTCCTAATAGCTTGAGTTTATTAGGCCCTTACACCAACAAGAAGTGACCATCGATGAAAGCAGGTTGCCAGGAAGGGTATCTGGATGTTGCAGTTTTTTCTTGAACATGTTGTGGAGAGACTGAAGCCATTCGGGAAATCGGCGTGCCTCCTTAGCGCGCGACCGAGGGTAAAGTCCCTGCCAAAACAGACGGCTTCCTTTCAGCGCTTTTGTCGATGAAGAAAATGGTCGTCGCAGTGAATACCGATGCCATCTTCAAACATGATGCCAAGTCCCCTCCGTAGCTCTACTTCTCAATGTCGTCCTCATGGAGCACGTAGGTGTGCGTCGTCGGTGTTCCCGTGCCATCAATCCCCTCGACCATCACCAAGCGATGTTGTGGGCCCTCGTGTTCCTTCAGGAAGATGGTGAGTCGACCACTGTTGTCGCCGAAGGTGAAGCCGTACTCCATATTGCGATTGGTCAACACCAAGGCGGTGTGGTGCACCATCGGCAGCACCTGCCTCTCGTTGAGCTGCACATACAAGAAGGGCAATATTAGACTGAGGAACATTAGAATGAAATAAGGGGAATATGAACAACATGTCCTTACCTATCGTCGCTGAAATTTGAGATTGAGGCTGTTCAACTCCTGGAGCACATGAACCAGGAAGAACAAAAAGAAATGAAATTTGAAACTGGTAACCAGGGTGTAAGAAGGTCTGTCGTATTCATACAACAAGACGATTGCAGCAGGCAATATGTTAGCAAAGCGCTCGATGGTGTCCCCGCGAGAGAGCCAGCAAATGTCCTTGATGTCTTACATCTCCAAATTAGTGCTAGTTAGCACCTCTTGCAGCTTCTTGAATCGAGCATGTTGCACGACAAAACGACCGAGAATGTTAGCAGCCAATTGGGCGACATTGTCAACGATGTTCAAGTCGGGGAAAGCGATGCGGACATCCTTCACAGCAAGTGCCTCCCTGCATATTCGATACACAAATGATTAGTAAGCTGGCTAAGCGATAAAACAACACTAGCAGTAATGCAAAACCACAGTACACAACATGTGGGCAACGCAGTGGCAAGGACTAAGGTGTGAAATCCGTATGCGTAATCGAGCCACCATGCTAGTCTGGGCACCGATCATAACGCTGGCGCCATCAGTGCTCATGGCGCAAATCTTGGACCGCAAGTAGCAAGGAGTGTAAGAAGGACAATCTCAAGCAAACCGGCGCCGCATTTCTCGACAAAAAGGTTGGCAAAGAACTCCGTCACCACCACCATACCGAGCAGAAACGTGTCATACGCAATCTTGTGTTTGCCATGCCTTCTGTTGGCGCTCTTGTCCAGCTGAAGTCCAATGAAGGGACTGTCGTTGATGTGCTGGATATGCTTTGCCTTCAAGTAGCACATTAGCGTCTCGACAAGTTGCTTGAAACCGTACGGGAGTCAGACAAAGGGAAAATGGCTTATTATAATAATATTTTTAAACACAACACCGAGAAAAATGTTAACACTTACGTGGTGCAGTACGTCCCTTGGTCCTTCGTCAGCATATCTGGCGTTCCCAGTTCCACCATGAACTGCACGAGTGACATGAACAAGGCGATGGGGGTGTCAGACTTGCAAATGAAACGCACTGTCAAGAACAACTTGATCAAGCGCCTCGCTTCTGCACTCTTATCCCCAAAGTTGGTCAAGCTGCTTCGTCTTCTGCCCTTCACGCTGCTTCAACCTTCCCTTCGCCGTACAGTGCCGGATGCTGGATTGGTGTCTCCACATCTTTTGCTTCTGTATGTCAATGCCTCCCTCAACACGAGCCCCATACCGCGACTCTGGATCTGCATACACCATGCAGATCCTGCATTTCATACAAGGATGCCCCCCAGAGTTGTCGCTGATGATGAGTCAAGGGAAGTGGCGATGCCACTATTCCTTGGCTTCTAGTTGCAGCTCCTCCAACGTCATAATTGTTGGCCCTGGATTCTCTACTCCACAACTTGCCTGTCCATCGCCCTTAGTAGCAATATTCCCTACATGAGAAGAAGGGCTTGGGCGTTTCGAGAAAGAAATCTTGTGTTGAACGTATTTAGTCTTGCTCGGGAACCGCAGCAGAACGAACGGCGAGCGAGTTTTGAGGGGATGGGTTTTAGCAGGAAAAGGAGCAGCGACAGGTCAACCTAGTGACGATCCCCCGGGGAGGCACGCTGTGCGGGGTGATTGAATAGGAGAAAACCGGCTCGGCGTCCATCTCCGCGAAAGGGTAAGGCTGCTCGCGTGAATTCGGTTTCTCATTCTCATCGATCGAAGAAGCAACAGGAGCAGTTGAGACTGGAGTTGTGGTGAAACATTCCCAAGTAAGGAAATGAAGGCCAGTGCGTGACAACGTAGTGGAAGGTGGCGGTGAAGCATCTAAACTGGATGCAGAAGGGGCATCCGCACGAGAGTCAGAAGCTATCGTGGTATTGGTGGAACTACACACTGGCTTGCTCTCGCCCACGAGGGTAAGAAAGGATCCCACGAGCTTTGGGACCGTCCGAATCAAGCGCATGAACGTCCCCAGCTCTGCTAGACGGGTTGCCTTGCCATGCCAGCCAAAACCTGACCTCGACGCACACTGAGGGCTGTTTGTGCTGCACCTATAGCTGTCCGCTGTGCGCTAGCACGAATATGCCAAACGAGTTGGCAAAATTCGTGTCAGCGGGGTGAGTCCTCTGCAGTTGCCGTGCAGTGTTGACACCGACCAGAGGAAACGTAAAGCCTGGCGGTGGCAGAACGATAATAAGGCGGGCGGTTTTTCATGACATGTCAGGAATAGTGGGCACTACGGAGATAACTACTACAACGGGAGCTGGACTACGGGCTAGGCACGGGTGCTCGTGTGATCTCTGTGTTCACTTGTTCCTTAGTCGTTTCCAAGTGCTCACACTACTTGCTAGTTCACAGGGAGAATTGGCAAGAGTTTCACTAGGAAAGGTTGACAACAATGGTACAATGAAGTTGGCAAGACTAGACTACATCAGAGCTAGCATGCAAGCAAGTCTACTGCTAGCGCAGCACGGTCGACCGCGTGCCAGCACGACTTGGTCGACCGCGCTCCAGCAGTGCAGAGGCGCGGCTTGCCAGTGCTGCAAGTCGACGGCGTGCCAACATCGCAGGTTGACGGCGTGCCAACGCTGCTCCCGCAGGACAACAGCGCACCCGCTTCGCAGGTGCTCGCAGATGATTGGCGATTAGTGCCTCGTCACCTGCACAACGCACACACCAAGTCAACTTCGTGCTGACGACTGATTCTGATCAGCCACGTCGACCTCGGGATACCACCACCGAGGTCGTCCTTGCCAACCTCGCCTGAGCTGCCAACATCGCCTGAGCGACCGTCGCGTGCCTTCGCAGAACCTCATCACCCCGATAACCTGGTCGACCGGGCAACCACGTCGACCAGCTGCTCCTGTATGTGCCGGTCGACCTCCCAAGTCGACGGCCACCTCCAGTCGACCTCCCCAGGTCGACCACTATGTTCGGTCGACCACCAGGTCGACTTCACGCCTGGTCGACCAACCACCAAGTCGACCAGAAGGCCTGGTCGACTTACCAGGTCGACCAGAAGGCCTGGTCGACCAACCAGGTCGACCAGAAGGCCTGGTCGACCAACCAGGTCGACCAGAAGGCCTGGTCGACCAACCAGGTCGACCAGAAGGCCTGGTCGACTTACCAGGTCGACCACAAGGCTTGGTCGACCAACCAGGTAGACCAGAAGGCCTGGTCGACTTACCAGGTCGACCAGAAGGCTTGGTCGACCAACCAGGTCGACCAGAAGGCCTGGTCGACTTACCAGGTCGACCAGAAGGCTTGGTCGACCAACCAGGTCGACCAGAAGGCCTGGTCGACTTACCAGGTCGACCAGAAGGCTTGGTCGACCTACCAAGGTCGACCAGAAGGCTTGGTCGACCAACCAGGTCGACCAGAAGTTCTGTCAGCCGACCACCCAAGTCGGCTACCCCAAGTTGGCGTCACCAAGTCGACGCCCTCCGCAGGTCGACTTCCCAGGTCGACCTTCCTGAAGTCGGCGCCATCCTGAAGTCGGCGCCCATGCAGTGGCACCCGTGCAGGTCGACTTCCTCGTCGACCAGCTCGCCCACTGCTGCAGGTCGGCTGCACCCCTACACCCGACCACGAAGTCGGCTCCGCCCAAGCAAGGACGGGGCCAACACACAACTCCCGTTGACACTCCCCTACCGCGTTCACGCTTGGGCCCCCAACCCACACGGCAGTACTTCTTTGGAGAAAAGCTCGTCGACGTGCACCCAACACACAGCACGTCGTCCACCGCACCAGCCATGCAAGAGGGCATGGCACCTACTGCTGCACGTCGTCATCGCCGACGTCGGCCAGGCGCACTTGGCCGATTGCAACGGAGCACCGGTTGAAGGCCGGATAGTGCAGCGCCTTCGAAAAGAAGTCGGCCGGCTGCTCAGCAGTCGGGATGTACTGCAGCGAAAACTTCCCCCGCTTCACCATGTGCTGCAGCCAGGCCTGTCGCCGCTCCATGTGCTTGAGGTTGCTCGTCAACCCCATGCCCTCGGCAACTGTGATGGCCGACTTGTTGTCCACCCGGAGGACAGTCGGCTTCCCAGCATCCAGCTGCCGGAACTCTGCCAAGAGGAAGCGAAGTCGGCGTCCCTCCTTGCTGGCTTCAACGGCCGCCACGTACTCCGACTCGGTCGATGACAGCGTCGCGCACTTGATGCGCTGGCTCGACCAGGAGACCGCGGCCCCTCCGTAGACGAACACGTAGCCACCTGTGCTCGTCCGGTTCTGCTTGTCGCCGGCGTCGTCGGCGTCCACGTAGCCGACTAGCTCCAACGACTCAGGTCCACCGCCGAACTCCAAGGCGGTGTCACGCGTGTTGGCGAGATAGGCAAGGCAGCGGTCGACCTCGCGCCAGTGCTGGTCGCTCCTCACCGTGAGTCCGCTCCCCAGCTTGCTGCAGGCGAAGGCGATATCCGGCCTCGTCGTCGTCGCCGCGAACTGCAGCGAGCCGACCTTCTGCCGGTACTCCTCCTCCTGGCGCTCCTGCGCCTCCTCGTCGTCGAAGGTGAGCTCGGCGTAGGCGTTGACCGAAACGGGCGTCTTGGGGGTGCGCCCGGTCTGCTCCTGGTCGAGGAAGCGCCTACGCAGCTTGTCGGCGTAGCCCTGCTGGTGCAGCCATAGCTTCCTCACCGACCTATCGCGCACGATCTCCAGCCCGAGGTACTTTTGCACCGGCGAGATCTCGCGCAGCTCGAAGGCGGCCTCCAGTAGCTCCTTCAGCTCCTTCAGCGGCGCGGTACTGCTGCTGGCGGCGAGCAGGTCGTCGACGTAGACCAGCACCCAACAGGTCACCTTGTCGACGCCGACCTTGAAGTAGAGAGCCTCGTCGACCTGGCTCTTCTTCCATCCAGCGCCGACCAGCACGTCGTTGAGAGCCTTGTACCACAGCAGCGGCGACTGCTTTAGCCCGTACAGGCTCTTCAGCAGCTTGCACACCCGGCTGGTCCCGTCATTGAAGTAGTCTGGCTGGTACATGTACAGCACGCGGTCGAGCTTGCTCTGCAGGAAGGCATTCTTCATGTCGAGCTGCATCAGGTTGAGGTCGAGGACGGCAACGATGCTGAGGAAAATCCGCAGCGTGACGTAGCTGCTCACCGGCGCGTACGTCTCGTCGTAGTCGGCGCCATACACCTGCGTGAAGCCCTTCACGACCAGCCTCGCCTTCTCGCGCTCGACGGTGTCGTCGATGTGGTACTTCGTCGTCAACACCCACCGGTTCTTCATGATGTTGACCCCCGGTGGGCGTTCGACCAGCTCCCACGTCCCCATGCCGATGAGGCTGCGGATCTCCTCCTCCATGGCAGCCTTCACCGCCGGACCCTTCCAGCTAGCCAGCGCCTCCTTCACCGTCATCGTGGAGATATCCCAACGGTGCTCGGGGTCGGCGTGCATGTCGGGGTCGAGCTCCAGCAGGTCTTCATCCTCATCGGCGTCGTCGTACAGCAGGTCGTCGTCCTCACCGACCATGTCATACACCGTGGTGAAGGCAGCCGGGACGAAGAAGTCGGGAGGCCTCCGAAGGCGGCCTGTACGCCGTGGTCCAGCCTGGGCCTCTCCCACGTCACTGTCGGTAAACTCCTCGTCGCCCAACTGCTCCCCTTCATCGTCCTCGTCGTCCTGCTGCACCTCGGTCGGCGTCCCGACCGATTCCTCCCCTGCGGTCAGCTCCCCTGCCGACTGCCAGGTCGCCGACTGCTCCTTGGTCGGCCTTGTTGCTGCCTGCTCCCCTGTCGGCTTCACCTTAGTCGACTGCACCTCCTTGACATGCTCCTCCCTTATCCACGTCGACTTCACTCCCACGTCGACTTGCTGCTCGTCACGTCGGCCACCGGCGATGCTCTTGGCCGCAGGCGACGTCCCACTACTCCCCTCATCGCCGGAGGCCAACACCGGAGTCAGTTTACGCAGGTCGGCCACGAGGGGAGAAACATGGGTCGTGGGAGGAGGGGAAGGAGGATGGTCGACCTCGATGTCCCCAGCAGCGAGCTCACCGACCTCCGCGAGCAGAGGCAGCGTCGCCTGCGAGGTGTCGGTTGGCGGGGTGGTCGGTGTCCGTCCTGACACCGTCCGACGTGGTGACCACCTGGTTGTCGGTGTTGGTGTAAGGGCCTAATAAACTCAAGCTATTAGGACTTAATCAAACTTAAAACCTCTCCTCGGGGTCACCTCCAAGGGTCCCTGGATGCCTGGTACAAGACCAGCCCCTATCCTCGGGTCCGAGTTTGTAGAGAGAGGGATCAAGAAGGACTTAGTCAAAACAGCAAGAGTACCTTGAACGTCGCGCAGCGTGCCGTGCAGACCGTCGGTCGGATTAAGCTGAGAATTCGCTATATCGAAGCTCGCTCCAAGAGCTTTAAAATGAGCCAAGTTGCCTCGCGAAAAGTTCTGCCATTACTAAGTTATGGCTCGGACAGCGTTTGCCTAGCGTTGGAGTGCTAGCATACTAGCGTTGACTCGGGTAGCATTCCGCCGTCGAATAGCGCAGAAACGAAATTCCAGCGAGGAAGGAATTCGCTTGAATCAATTTGACTATATTCAGGTACAAACAGAGAAGGATTAAATAGTTCTAGCTAGCAAGGACCTTGGGAATCAACCTACGAACAACCAGGGATGATCCCAAATAATTCCAAGCAACAGAACCAACCTGGCTGGACAATATAGCAGGTGGTAGGTTGGTAAACAACCTCTGGTTCTGTTTTTCCAACCTGGGAAAACAACAACCAGGTTCAGGTTCTAAAAACAGAACCTGTTTTGTCTTTGCCCAACCAGCCAAATGCTGGTTCCGCTGGTTTCCCCTGGCCTTGTAGCATGCAGATACAGACAAACAACATCCAACCTTCACCTAAATTGTACCCCTATAGTGCCTTCCCTGCTACACTATAGTTAACCAAACAAAACAGTACAATTTCGAGTTGGATAGAACTGAATCTGCGCAATCAACTCAACCGAACTGCAAAGCTTTCATCTTGGGTTCCTTTGCGAGCTCGTCCTTTCTGCTTGCATTGTTCATAGCGCGTACAATGTTGTGCCGAAGCGCACATTGCGCGAGTACCTGCAAATGCATCAAGCGAAAAATGCGAAAGCAAACAAACACACGAACACACCATTCACACGCATTCGCACACGCATACTCGTACAAACAGACGGCAGGATGTCGTGCAATGTGCATTTGCACCCAACACACTCCCCCTCAGCCTGCCGGCTGCATCCCCGTCATTCCATGCTAGTTCATGCTCATTCCACTCATGCGCACACAACGCCAATGAGGCTCATCCGCAAGCCTCTTGGTGAGAAAGTCTGCTGGCTGCTGGTGAGTCTTGATGTAGATCGGATTCACCGTCCCCCTCTTCACCTCCTTACGCAGCCAGTGCCACTTGATACGCATGTGCTTGTTCAGCCCATGAAGCACAGCGTTTCTGGCCATCCCAAGAGCCCCCTTGCTATCACAAAACAGCGGCGTAGCAACTTTCTGCTCCTGGCCAATCTCCTCTAACAGCCTCCTCAGCCAAATCACCTCCTTCACCCCATGGAACATCGCCATGTACTCTGATTCTACGGAAGAGAGTGCCGTCTCCGTCTGCTTCTTGGACCTCCAACTAACAGGTCCTCCCCCAACTACGCAGATGTATCCTCCCACAGATGAGGAATCCTCCTTCTCAGAAGCCCACGTAGCATCGGTAAAGCAAGTCAGAAACAGCTTGCCTTCTCCAAGCCTCTCCCCCTTCTCTTTCAGCACCTCCACCCCTTTCTGCTTCACCTGTGCAGATGCGGAGTATTGAACTCCAATGCTTGGGTGAGAGTTCAGGTACTTCACCACACGCTCAGCTGCATCCACCTGCTCCTCTGATGGATTCTGCACCACCCTAGCCAGCTGCCCAACCGAGAAAGAGATGTCGGGCCTCGTGTGAACTGCTGCGTACAAGAGGCTGCCCACCAAGGACTGAAATTGCTGCTGCTCTTCAGCTTCAACCCCTTCATCCTCTGCAGCCTTCACAAGCTTGAATTCTGCTGGCAGGGGAGTTGCAACCTTGCGCTCATTCTCAATCCCATACTTCTCCCCCAGCTCCTTGATGAACTTCTCCTGGTGCAGCTTCAACCACCTGTGATCTGGATCCCTCTCCACGTGCATCCCGAGGTAGTACTTTACCTCCCCAAGGTTCTTGCACTTGAAGTTTTCCATCAGTTGCTGCTGCACTTTCTGGATCTCCTTCATGCTGCTGCTGAAGAGAAGAATGTCGTCCACATAGACCAGAAACAGCACCAGCTTCTCCCCCTCGCCCTTGAGAAAGAGGCTCTCATCACAGCTGCTGGTCCTGAATCCCATCTCCTCTAAAACAGCTGCCAACTTCTGGTACCAGCAGCGTGGCGCCTGCTTCAAGCCGTAGATGGACTTGTTGAGCTTGCACACCCTGCCCGTACCATCCTCATACCCAGGCGGCTGCGTCATGTACACATCCTCCTCTAAAATCCCATTCAGGAATGCCGTTGAAATATCCATCTGAATGATGAATTTCCCACTAACAGCTGCATCTGCCAACAAGACACGGAGGGTAGGGGGTTTGGCAGTGGGAGCAAAGATCTCGTTGAAGTCCTGCTTCTCCTTCTGCATAAACCCCTTCGCCACCAGCCTACTCTTGTAGATGGTGACCTGCCCCTTGTCATCGGTCTTGATCCTCAGCACCCACTTGCATTGTATCGCTTTCTTCCCATCAGGCAGCACCACCAGATCCCATGTCCTATTCTCCAGCAGACTCTGGTACTCAGCATCCCTAGAAGCCAGCCACTTGTCCCTATCTGGTCCAGCTAATGCCTCCTCCATGCTAGCTGGTTCCTCTGGTGCAGGGGCAAGAAAACAGTACGCAGGCTCATCCTCCTCATCCGGGTCATAGCCATGAGGTAGAATCAGCAATGCCTCTTCGGTCCCTAGCTGCTGCTCTGCTGCATCAGTTCCTGCAGTCAGCTTCTTAGTAGCCATACGGGTACGTCCTGGCCTGGAGACGGGTGTCTCCCATCCCTTCATAACGACACCCTTCGGCTTCTTAGTTTTTCCCTGCTGCTTCTCTCCTCCCTCGGGTCCAGCAGCTCCACTAGTGCTGCCGCCAGTTTCCACACCATTTTCTCCACCAGCAGATGCCTCCTGTACCTTCTCTCCATCACCATTTCCAGCAGCTGCCTCCTCTCCCTCCTCCCACACACTAGGAGTCAGGTCCAGCTGCATGGTAATCTGCTCCATCTGCTGGGACACCCTTGCCTCCGGCTGTTTCTCCCAGCTCCCATACATCATGCCCTCAATGAATTTCACATCCCTGCTGTCAAACAACACACCCTTGGATGGTTCCCACAGCAGCCATCCCTTGCTCTCAGCAGCCAGCCCCAAATGCACACACCAGATTGCACTCGCCCCCAACTTACTGCGGTAGGTCTTGGGGACGTGGGCGACTGCCATGCAACCGAACACCCTCAGCATGTCCACCGGCGGCTTCCTCCCAAGCCACCTCTCCAACGGCACCCACGAGTCATCCCCAACCTTGGTGAGCACCCTGTTCCTAGCGACAGTGGCGTGCCGGACAGCATGAGGCCACATAGAATTGCTCAGCCCAGATTCTATGAGCAGCGCCCTAGCTGTCTCCAGAATGGTCCGGTTTGCCCGTTCTGCTACACCATTGGACTGTGGGGTATAAGCCGTGGTCAGCTCTCTCTGGATGCCCTGCTTCTTGAGCCAGGCCGTCATTTCAGCTCCAAGGAACTCACCACCCCGGTCTGTCCTAATCCGCTTCACTACACACTCCGCCTGCTTCTCCACGAATGGCAGCCAATCGTCCCGTATCGTGGAGGCGGCGTGGTCCTTCTGCTTCAGCGGATACGCCCACATCAGCCTGCTCCAGTCATCCACAATTGTAAGAAAATACCGCTCCCCCTTGTGCCCTTGCACCGGCAGCGGCCCCACCAAGTCCATGTGGACCAGCTCCAAAGGCTTCTTGCTCCTGCCAGCCACACTATGGAAAGGGAAACGGGTGAACTTTGAAAGCAAACAGATTTCACAGTTGTCATCGGGTGGCTGTCCGTTCAGCTTCAGACCCTTAACGGCTCCATCCTTCTCCAGCTGCTTCAGCAAAGGCATTGCCACATGCCCTAAGCGCCGGTGTGCCGTTGCCCAATCTGTCTCCCCAGATCTGGCCGACACTTTCACACCAACCCCTCCAACGGCATTGCACTCCCCCTGGGATGCAGACCCCTCTCCAGCCTGCCCCCCACCATGCCACGCCAGGGCCGGCAGCTGCCACATAGATCTGTACACG